GCGGACTATTTTTTCACCGGCGAAAACCTTTGCGGACTCAAGGTGCGTTTATTGCAACCGTACTCTGTGTGATGAAAAAATTCAACCAAACACAACAGAATATTAACGAATTTCAAAATCGGAAATTCGCCGCAATTACGCGTTCGTTAAAAGAGCCGACTTTTTAGTGTATTATGGCCTTTTTTGTCGCACAATATTCAATCCATGACAACGACGAGGATTCAAAATGTCTTTCTATTATAATTTAATTGTGTTCATGGTACCTCGCGGTTGCGTCGACTTACGACAATATTACAATATTACAAAGCATTACTTCTTTGAAATGCCCGATTATATTTAGTTTTGATACATATTTTTTGCGATCTTGCGAATTTGTTATCGCCGTTAGAAAAATCCTACTATCTGCTATAAATTTCCAGAAAGTGCAACTTGATTTAGTACTTATTAAAAATAAATTCAAAGTATATTAGTAAATCAAAAATACATATTCATCGCCTTGCTGAATTATTAATTTAATTGTGTTGTGTTGACGAAATAAAAGCAATACTACTCAGAAAATATCATGACAATCCGTGGACACAAAAATGCATGGTGAGGTGCCAGATAATTATTTTTTTTTCATTGAAAGGAGAAATAAAAAGCACTTCGCAAAATAGCATTTCGTGCTGAACAATGGAAAATATGTCACTCAAATGTTGTAAAAAAAACACTTCACACTATTCAATGAACATATATATATATATATGCTCATTGCGCTATTCTATTGCAGTAAAATTGCACACACATTACCAATTCGCTACAGCCATTTTTTGTCGTCATGGCGTGAACCTGCTGATCAACAACTCAGTTGTGCTGTCAGCTTTGTTTTGATTGTCAGATTGTTAAGTATAGTAATTTGTGATGTGTTCAAAGTTTTCCTCCAGTTTGAATAATGAACCAATTTATGGCATTTCTAAACTTTACCTCATATAGTATGCTTTCACATGTAAATGGTACATTTTGTCTTCTGCAAAGATTTCGAATGCTGGTTCGATATTGTTCGTATTTTGGACAATGTATTGAAAAATGTTCAGTGTCTTCGACTTCCCTGTTGCATTGGTATCATATTTCATCTACATTTTTATCAAATTTTGAAAGATGTTTATTTAGCATACCATGTCCTGTTTGAAGTCTAAAAATATTTCTTGTTTGTATTCTTGACTCTTTTATTTTTTTTTCAAGTATTATATTTTGTTTTGATTCGTAATTTTGTGATTTCAACAAATTTGAGCTGTTCGTACAACACTTACGGCGCTACAGTACTCTGCGTACCAATGTGGAGGCAGTGAAGCAAAGAATCCACGATAGCACCCGAAATTTTGCGATTTGGAATGTCTAAAAAAGCTATTTTAATCGGTCACGGACCATCACGAAACAAAACTTATGGTGTTCTTCGTTTTATTTTTAGCATTGCCGCTTTTCAATTTAGAAAATTTGGGTTGCCACCTACCAGAACTTTTTTATTCCACGTTGTTCAAACTCGCGAGAAACACCACTTAGGTCGGTATCTATCGACGCGTGTGCCGACTTGTGCTTTCGTCGGAAATCCGCAAGTGAGTTGTGAAATCCAATCGTTTGATTTAGCGACGCGCAAATGACGTATCGCGTCATCTGTTACCAAATTCTCGAATAGTGAATTGCTATTTCAATAGTTGAATATATGCTCAGCCCTACTCAGTAACCAGTGCCTATTGACTCGATTAATGTTATGTAAATAAACTTGCTTTTTATGTTTTATCTAAATTCTAACGTAAATCGTAACTTGGCTGATGGTTAGGTTTTGCAAATACGTTAACGGCCCGCAGTGCATCTCTGGCTCGTTGCGAACTCATTCAAACGCTCCGCGGACTCATTTGAGACAGCGGACTCCGGTTGGGAAACACTGCACTAGAATATATCAAATGCGCCAAAGGGCATTTATTCGCTTTAATTCCTAATCTAAAAGAATTGCGTGCTCGCCTGCGAATATATGTATAATGTATATATATATATATATATTCAGGGGTGTACCATGGATCACGTTTTGTGGGCTTAAATAATTCTAGGAAATGCAGTTATATCGAAAATATATATGTTATTCAAAGTTTTATTAAAAAGAGAAGGAACATTTTGCTATAAACAATATGCACCAAACCACTACGAGTTTTAACTTGAGAGAAATCAAATTTCAACCAAAACTTTGGTAAGTGGAATTGTGAGTGATTTATCGACGTCGAATACCTTGCGATCGTTTATGTGGTGGATTTTTAAACGCACCAAACGGCAATACAACAATGCTACTAAAATTTTCCAACGATTGCCAATTTCCTTTCGTATGCTCATCACGCGTCGGCTACTAACTTAAATTGGAAAACAAGTTGAGAAGGTCAAGTTTGTTGTATAATGTCTTAGCACATGAAACCGTGACGTCATAGTACCTTTTTTGAGTTGCGATGGGACAACGCTAATCGGCGCGCTTGTGTGACAAATATAGCTTAAATTCGCTCAGCGTTGGTTCCGAGTTTTTATGCTCACATTATTGGAAGCATGCGAATAGTTTTGAAGTATCTCTATATTTGGTACGAGAATAATTCTTCCAGAACAAGAGTGTCGAACAAAGAAAGTGTGCCATGGTTTCAAACTCACAAAAAAAAGATTTAAAGATATTGTCGCAAATAAGTAGTTTACGAAACTCAAATTTAACGGTGATTAAAATGATTCAGATGTACTGTACAAGAGTGCGCATCTGCACCCGTTGCATCCGAGCTCATTAAGTTACTTATCAGACAGTAGGCATTTTGATAAATGTAATGTGATCAGTTTGACAGATACTCTTATAATGATGACAAGAACACATAGCTCGCAACTCTGTAAAGTTTCTGCTTCGTTTTTGGCTCAGTGGAATTAGACAAATCTTCCCACATTTTATGCTATAGTGACATCACGCGGGAATACGACCACTCCAGGAATTGAATTGAGGAAATTCACAAACATATCAATCGGACAAATGGGATCTGATTAATAATTACAACAGTTTTAGTGACGCTGACCCAACTGTATCAGTTGCTATTGTATCTCAGGTGAAATTTCCCAATTAGGTTCGGATCGGATGTGTGTGATGGTTATGGTGGATCACTTCGAGACGAGTAAAGGTGAGGAATTGCTACTTCTAATTCTTCGGTTGCTTTCAAACAAGTCGCAAATAATTGCAATCCAGCAAATCTCTCATACATTTGTTAGCCCTGTAGAAAACAAAAATACAATTGTTCGATCCCGCACAGGAGAGCCATCGATGCGATGCAGGTGTGCTTCTTGGACGCGTATCGACTAAATTCAAGGGTATAATGATGGAATTCTAACAGGTATTAGAGCAAGTCGGTTATTTTAGAGTCGGCTTTCCAGTGCGAACAGTAAATGGCCCGGAGTGCGCAAAGTGAGATGGGCGAATGCATGTGGACGCTTGTTAATGGTCACAAAAAAATTACTACATAAAATTTAGTGTAAGCTTACTGATCCATCATATTAAACATGTATAATAATCAAACAGACTCAAAACTTTTCGACCCGTTCAACATTAATTTAACCTTTCTTGTGGATCCCCAAATTTCAAATGCAATACCCCAATTGTCCTAGCTTTACCAGGTCCAGTGACGACGATGATGATTCATTGGTATTGTGCCAACGTGAATCAAAACCCCAAATGATTCACTGAAAATTTCAAAGCAACTGGTCCCGTAGTAAAAAAGAAAAGCAATTTTTTACAACAAAATGAATAAAACTACCAACATGTAAAACAACAACACAATAACAAAAAGATCCATAGGCCCGATAACAAAAGAGCAAATCTCGAATATATGAACACGAAAGTGGAAACGAGATAGTACTGGTTAGTCTGACCACTACATCCATGACATTTGAACAAGACTTGTTGCGCAATTTCTAGTTTCAAGGACGCCACCCCACAAAACTTAGAAGGGAAAAACGAATCCCACTTAGTCCATCGAAATTTTGAATAGCCTGTTAGTGATAAAATTTTTTACCACATAAATTTCAAAGCAATCAATTATGTAGTTAGATAAATACGATTTTCCCACAACAACATAATACCCCAATACGACCCATATATGAACATTTCGTGTTTTATAACAAAACGATCCAAAGGTAGCGGCACATTCTGTTGGCATTCAGTGGCAAAAGGTACTAAGACACAGTAGGCTAACCATCTTTCAACTTATGCCGCTTCTAACTGCAACAGATAATTTTTTTGTGGTTGAAAATTCAATTTTGCCTTATTGGTGATGAAGGAAAATCGGAGCAGAAATCTGGGGAACGAACGACCTGGCTGATTACACGATTTTAGGAATACGTAGACAGGAAAGTGCCTAAATGATGTAGGATTATTAATGTGTGATCCCATTAGACGAGACACGCTTTTCCTTCGTTCCGGTCGATTTTAGACGTTATATCGGCGATATTGAAATACTTCAGCATATGTATTTTGAATCTGTGTGCAGTGTCTTCCAAGCAGTAAAGTCTACATCAGCTGATATAATTTTTGACCCTGATCAGATCTTCTAATGTCGCCCAATCCTCTTTCGCCGAGTTTATGGTATTATTTCAATCTTTGAGGCAAATTCAAAAATGTGCTATCCTCCAGCCCTTAAGGAGCGACTAGTATCATTTTAATCGCATACTTAGTGTTTCTAATAAACAAAAAACGGTGCTCCCGAAGTATGCGGACCAAGATGGCGGACATCGGAACGTAACATGGGTAACAGGTTAGGGTAAGGCGATAATTTTTTTTCCAATTTTCCTTATTTTAGTCCTATTATCAGTTCGAAGACTAGCCAAGAGCCTCCCGTAGTATTTATATCTAAAATTATGGCCTAACCCTCACCTAGTACACATATTACATTCCGATGTCCGCCATCTTGGTTCGCATACTTCGGGAGCCCCCAAAAACATCTTTATTCCAACGGAGTTGAGACGGCTCTCACTAACAAAGTAACCTGGTGCACGTGTTTGAATCCCATAATAAAATATAACCATGATATTATTTGATCAAATTCGTAATTATAGTACATAATTACCATAGTGTTTATATAAAATTAAAATGGCCATTACATTGTCCAAGAAAAAAATAATTTTTTAGTTGCTACATACAAACCAATTCATTTATAAAAGGATTATTAATTAGAAAATACAAATATAGAAAGTAATCTTTACACAAAGTTATTGAAGCAATACCGGAATGCAATAGACTTTCCGAAGCTGAAGTTAATCCATTTGTATTGCCCAAGCAATGAACTGGGCCAAGTGAGGCCCATAATTGAAATGAGCTGTAAGAGCATAACCCATGTATCTTTAGATGAAGTTATTAAAGCAATACCGTAATGCAATAGAAGTTGCCAAGTTGACAATAACCACTTTAGATTGATGAAATCAAGCAATTGAACTGGCCCAAAATTAGACTGAGTTGTAAAACTATAAACCATGTATGAACCATTGAAAATGGGGCGGTCAAATGAGTTCATGAGAGTTAATGGGCAAGTTCCTATATGCTATAAATGTAAGTTGACAAAAAAAAAACAATAAATATATAATTTTATCCCATAATCCAAAAGATGTACAATAATTACATAAGTCTCTTTGACACCCAACCAATTTAAGCTGGTAGAAATACTGAATTGCTTTTTACATATAAGAAAGATGAAACAAAATTGAGAAAGCATTGTTATAAGAAAGTACTTCTCTAAGGGTTTAACTCTCATTAAAAACTAAGAGAACTTAAAAATATGTCATAAAAGTGGAAATTTCATTGATTTTCCCTGAATAAAGCCCATATTTATATATATAAACATGTGGTAAATTATGCAAAATTCACTGAAAGAGAAATAACATAGTACGTGATGAAGAAAAAGGTATCTGGGGTTCAGTATTTTTGCTGCTGGAGCGAAAATAACTCTGCGAAGTTGTCAATTTTATCTCGATGAAGCACAGCTATGTTATACTCATTCCAATCCATTAAAATTGGGATTAAGATTGTTAGGTGATTGGGCCAAACTGATGTATTTTTAATCACTGGCCAAAGAATTTTGTTCTCGAGTTCATATGCAATGTTGAAGTATGTGGTATGGATGAGGCGAGGTTATTAACTGAGATTAATTGATTGGCTCATGTTTACCCAAAGCGCAATATTTGAATATAGAAATGTAATTCTAAAAAGGTGTTACCAGATCAAAAAAAAAGATAGATTTTCATGATAGTATAAAGTAATTGAGCAAAATGAAAGGAAAAGTCTTCATGTGTTCTACTTTTTAACATAGGAGCTGAGCATGTCGATGGGGAGAGGGAAAATGATGGTGGAATTCTTCTCTGCGCTGATGGATGTGAGTGTTTGAAGATAACGCAGTTGCATGGCATTGGGGGATTCACTCATGACATCAGCTGCCTCCTTCAGCTTTCTTGAAGCGTTCATTTCACCCTCGGCAGCAATAACCTGAAAAAAAAAGAATTACTTATTACTTTAATGAAATTTACAAACATATTCAGGTAGATTAAAGATATTATATGTTGACCCATGCTCGGCAAATACATATTAGATTTATGTAGGCTATATAAGCAGAATGGTAAAGGGACATTGTATCTTCAAATTGCTGCAGTTCATAGAGTCTTTTTCCATATGAAGAAGTGGAACAGACATTTGAAAGCCTAATTAAAGTCCAGCTGAGATAACTACCTACATATCATCAGAAATAAACAAAGTCTCCTCTTTTAACTTCCATACCGCTGTTTATAGGTAGCATACATTGTAAACATATTTTACCAGATGGCCACTGACACCATTAATTATCCAATTATAGGGTATTTTTAGGATAAAGATTACAGGATTTGTTAAGATGGAGATTACAATTATTCCTTTCTAAGTTGTCATCAATTATTCAATGCTTCGTCAATTACGGCAGGAAGTAAAAAAAAATTATGACCCAGAAGATACACTGCTTTTGCAGTAAATTTGGTTTTGATGGATTTTTTTTACGTTATAGCTGAAGGAGTCTAAAAAAACAGCTAAATATTAATGTTACATTCAAAAACCCCAAAACCACACCTTTTTAGCTACGATAATTCATTTCACTTTTAATCATAAACATATGAAATTGGATATTGAAAATGTTGCTTCGGATAAACCTTCCATATGAAAGAAATTGAAAGGAAGATATTTCAATAGAACTGTAACCATTGCGAACCACAAAGCGTAGAAACAATCGAATAATACAATAGGAAACATGTTTGTGTTTCATGACAGGTTACAGATGAATAGGGTGACAAATCACCATTGGTTTGAATAGACTATTCATGGATGTCACATGGAATTCAAAAACAGCCTATATTATTTCCTCGACAAAAATATACTTCCTTTTTACAATTGAAACGACTATCTATTGACAGGTTTCATATTACCTACATATAAAATCATTTATTGTTTCAAATATTTTGTTTTCCCGAAAAATCAGTCCCATGTTGGAAATGAGAATCAGAATTATAAGTTATGTTTGTGTAAGAAGTTGTGATATTGTCCTTTCAATATCACTTCAATATAACATCTTATATGTGTCTGTACTAAAACTATGCAAATCCCACACACTTGGAAGAAGCCATTCAAGAAAGCAAAATTAAAGCCTATCAGAAATCATGTCCACTGTGAAACTCTTGTAAATCTACCAACTTCAACTTCAAAACCATTAATTTATAATGAAAAATAGCACATACCTTGGCTCTTGCATCTCGAGCAGCTTCTGCTTCAGCAGCCATTGCTCTTTGCAATTGTACCGGAAGGCGGACATCTTTGCTGTAAATGAAATAAATAATTGATACACATTTTTCCTGTGATGTTTTTGTGCCTTGCGCCAATTCAAAAATGGATTTGCATTTAACCATGAAAAAAATTTCTGTCTCGCCTTGAAAAGTTTTGAAATATTTGAAATTCTATTACAAAAAATAACATTTCACTTTGAAACAAATAAAAAAGCACAATGATTAAAACTGTCATTTATTATTTGATCCGTGGTTTTAAATTGAAAATAAAAAATTTTAATCTTCAAAAATTCAATTGCTACAAGTGGAAAGTTTCCAAAAATTTCTTATGAACACATGAAAAGAATAGTTAGTATTTGTTTCAAATCCTAAAATTACCAAGTCTAGTATGACAGGAACATAAGGTCCGAATATCATTGAATTCGTATCTATGACTATTTACAATCTAACATAACATGTACGAGCACAGGGCATATAATGAATAATTTTTCAATTTTAATGACAGAGCTATGTTATCTTTCAAGAATTGATAAAGTGACATTTCTATTATTGATAAGTTAGTTTTATTGATCTTTCAAAACGACAACAAGTCAATATAATCTTTACCATATGTGTAACCATTAAATATTCATATACTATCAGTTCCAACATCAATAAAAATGATTATTTCAAGAAACAATCTGAGAATGATTATTTCAAGAACTGAGACAAATAAATCTATTTGTGAGTTTATATGCACATTTTAGAGTTATGAATAGACAACCTATAATAATTAAAGTTTTTAAAAGTGCAATAGATTTACTGAATTTTACTATTTTACATAATTTTGTGCGAGAGAAATATTTTGCCATTTTGCTCTAAATAAAATTTAAAATAGAGATGTCTGGAGTTTATTAGGTGAACGAAACTTGAAATAAGAGAGATATTATTTTTCCAATAAAAATTTGAAATATTGGAGTGAAATAACCACTTTTGTGTCAAATTTCACAAAATATGTTATTCTGATCCACACCCAATAGTAGGCTATGTTAAAAGGAATATCAACAACAAAGTAGAATTATACAATTACTATCTAGGTGTGAACATCAGCATCTATCAAGTCCATGTGCATATGTGACATGCAACATGTGAAAGGGCACTTGTTAGGTAAAAATTCAAAATCTGCATGTGTAACACTCATAACAAAACAAAATTTTCAATCATAAAAATATATCAATAATCCAGACAACCGCACATAATTCAGATCATATTATTTCATGAAAATAGCAAAGAGGGAGACAAATAAACAAGAAGGTTACTGTGGTTTGGGAAGGTGACAGTGACACTAGAGGTTGGAATGGAATGACATAAGCCCAAATCCTGTTGATTTTTGTAATTTTGAACCTGATCTTGGGTATACTATATCCTTTTTTGCCTTTTGCGTTAATTACCAACACCCAGTGCACTCTAATTCAATAAACTATGAAAACTTTAATCTTACATTTCCACTCTTTCAACTTTGATTCCCCATGGATCAGTTGCTTCATCCAGAGTCACCTAAAGAGAGTAAACAAAACATTATTGGCATTTTTAAGAACAAACCACCCAACACTAACAGGCAACAGCAGATCACAGTTAATCTATGACAAATAAATATTTTGTGGCTATTATTGGCCCATATTGAAATGGCATTTGAAAAATTCATAGCGTCTCAATTTATTCAGAGATAGGATGTAGACAGATAAAGAAATTTGATTCGAAGGAAAGATTTAGCATCCATTATTTATTAGAGAATTTACCTAGCTAGCCTAAACTTGCAGCCTAGCGTTGCTACTCTTTGATGAAATATCCTACAATGTTAAAATTGGCAAAAGGTGAATTGTGCTAGCACTTTGCAATGGCACCTTTGACTACCCTGTTCTAATTTGCAGGATGGAATCCTGTGGGAGATGATTATGTGCGATAGGGCCGCTGGACTTTTCGTTGTCATAGGGTGGTTCATGTAACCGACGGTCGATTATGACTTTTTCCACCATGAGGTCCATGCATCTGGAACAAATAACTTCCCATACCTGAGCTGTCTAATCATGATAATTCTATTGTATCCCTAATTCATTAAAATGTATAAAAATGTTAGTAATCTGAAAATAAACACATACTTGCATTCCAGAGCTGATTTCTTCACGATCAGTGAGAACCTCAGACAAGCTTTTCGTGCCCAACATATTACGTAAAGTAGTTTGTGAAAGGAGACGCGTAGCACCATCAGCATTCGCTACATTAGCGATACTTGCGGTTGCATCCTGCACACGATAATACACAACTGCATCTACCGCAATGGTGACGCTATCCTTGGTCAGAATCTAGCGAAAAAGAATAAAGTTCGCACCGAGATTCAAAAAGTGAAACGAGTGTTAAATATAAGGAATAATTTATCAAAATATTAACAAATTCTGCACAACTTACTAACTACAAAACTATTTCAATTTGAGCTTTATATAGCATTTTGCATGATTAGTAATACCAATATTAATACATGAAAATATACAAAAAATTACCTCTTGCGGAGGGACGTCAAACGATTGCGTACGAAGGTCAACTTTGCTGTATTCATCGGTGCATGGAATAACGAAGAAGATACCTTAGATAACATAAGTGTTTGATTAGCACAAAAAATTTAAATTTTTTTTATTTGTCTTAATATATTAGGCAACATACCTGGTCCCTTTGCACCACCTTTTGACAGGCGACCGAGACGAAATATTACAGCTCTTTCATATTCTTGTACAACCTTGAAAAATAATTGATAAATTTTATTATAAAAATTAGTCTGATAAATAACTTTTGGTGTGATTGACTAATGGTTAGCATTTTGTTTGGCGCAGCTAGTTAGAGATCTTATGCTCAAATTTTGTACTTATTGTGATGTGTGAACACTGCATTAATCATTAATGAGCAAACAATGCAGTCTGCAATATATCAGGAATTTATATTTCAATTCCAGATAAGCAAAGTGCTGCATTCCGTCAACATATCCAGATCTTGACTGTTGCTAAAAAGTAGCGAAGAAACTTCACAAGTTTGATGTAAAATATGATGGAAATTAATAGAATCAAGCCCACCTTTACACAAAGGCAAATAGCAACTGGGAAAGTGATGAGAATGACAAACCCTGAAATGATCAACAAAATGATTCCGCAGCATCCATATCCATCATCCGCATCATCAGCTGTAAATTATTAATTTTTTGTTAGTTTGATTATTGTCAAAAAGCCGACAACACAGCTTAATCATATGGCAAATAAGGATTTCTTCGGGTATTGTTAGAAGCAAAAGTATAAATTGACCATCATTTTCTACACTTTGAAACTATATAAACATTTGAGATTTGAATATTTACTGTTTACATTCTCAGCAACCTAGTTAAGTGCTAGGGATCTTGCTTGTCCTATACAATATAATATTGTGAATAGTATAACAATACTTTTCATTTTATATATTACGTAGGACATGCTATCTAATCTCAGATATATTTTAATGAAAAAAAAGATACCATCAAATTCATTTTGTTGGAGTATATTAAATTCTGTGAAATTGTTGTTATTCATTGATAACCATATTTATGATTGCTAAATTATACTCTGTATACAGCACAATTCACAATTAGTCCAAGTCGCAAAGCCAGTCATTTCACAATATAGGACATGCTATCGAATCCAACATACGGTACTTTTATTAATGACCATGGTCAAGAAATCATGAAGATATACAATTTGCGACAAATTGTTAAATAGACTTCAAAATCAAGTCGGCTATTTAACATCATGACCAATTATTGATCAATGCACATATGACACAATGTTGTTGTTTTGATTGATCATATACCAGAGTTAGCATTTCATTTTCAAAGATTTCCCATGTCTGAGAATAAAGTTCAAAGGCATGCTATGACTGATAAATCTCGAAGAAGAAGTTTGAAAGGAACTTTTGGATGCAAACGCATCTAAACGGTATATGCCAAATTTGATGTCAGTATACTCAGTACCAGCAATTACAAAGTCATAATTTTCAGATATTATATTTTGTAGCAATTTGAAATTACAAAAATCAACAGCAAAATAAAAATTAAAATATGATTATATAAATATGTAATGTGCTTGTTTTGTCCAAAATAAATATCAAAGTACAAGCTCCAAATTCTCATTCATGGCTGCTCGTGCAGAGTTATAGCAATGTTAAAAAAAATCATTTGTTTTGAAGGCTGCGTTGATCATAAAAATCACACTTTTGTCATTATCCAAATAGGGGGGAAATTTATAATTATTGTCAGAGTAGCAGAGTTAATACCATAATCATATGACTAATCAATCCCTTTTTGTGAGGATGGTATATGAAAAAAAACAAAGTAAGTTATTGTTCAATTACATGACCAATCTCGAAACACTTATTCGATGCCATAATCATGATTACGCCCCACACTAATTCCTTTTTATCTTGATTATAACATCGAACTGTTTTCTCATATATTATTTTTATCATATCACCTTATCTCTTTCAATGCGAAGCTTATATATGGATTTGTTTCACCCAAATTCACCGAACTATTTTCCATAAGATATTTATTACATTATACCAAAGAATTCCGATATTATTGACATGCTGGAGTCAAATCAAATTAGGAATTATCATAACAATTACTAGTCATATGAAAAATATGATTTTTGAAATGAAAATTAACAACACAAGATTTTTATGATTCATTGAATAAATCTGCCAGTCAAATTTTGGTTGTCGCATTACATCTCATGCCAAACTTACAGGCAGTAGCGTAGTTGAAAGCGTTTCTGCTTTGCTTAAAGCTTGTTTTTGGCTGCTCCTCCATTTCGATCATTGATGGAACAGTATGTCAATAATATCGATACAAAAATATTATAAGTTGCTGATAAAATATCAAGTATTAGGATTAGTATTTTATGATGAATATTACCACACAAAAAGGAATGCATTCAACTACAAAAGGCAAATACACAAATCTGGTTTAAAAAATTCATTAACATACATGGTATTTTACAGTAATCTAATACTGTGATTTCTATTACAAAAATGGCATATAGGGAAGTGGTTTTACGAAGTACATAGTCAACTAAAAAAGGTAGCTGTTGCATTCTCGGAACTCCAGGAATACATTACTGTCTGATGCAATTTGTTGCTTTTAGACCAGTAGACTTACATTCATGTACATTATATGCCGTTGTGTTTCGCGAAGTTGAAGGTTGTTGGCCTTTCGGATAACTCTCCATTTCCATTTGCTTATATTATACTTATTCAACAATTCTATGAGTAAACTAATGGTAATAATTTTAAACAAATATTCTGAGTAAACAAATCACATGATTTGGTCAGGAGTTGATTTCAACTAAAACTGCTGTTTCTTAACATTACCTCAATTATACACAGATAATACAGTGGCTCTGGGAAACCCATAAAATGTCTAATTACTATCAGACTATAGCTTTTAGTTGTTTATTTATTCTTTTTTGAGGACTTCATGCATACAGTAGGTAACTTATAGCACTATACCCAGATTTAAATTTTCACATTTAATTAATTGTTTGTCCCATTGAGCCACCAGAGTAAAACTTTCATTCAGTCAAAACACAATATTTAGTAAGTTCAGTCCAATAGTGCCTTGGGCACGGGTTCTCGTCTGTGCGTCTTGGATGACAGTAAGTATAGTTTGAAGGGCTCTATTACGTCACTGTGACGTAATTTTTGGATGGCGTGGTCAGGTGGGGGTTAGAATTGACACGTGAAAAAATTGTTATGCTACACCTCTAGAAGTATGTTAGGTACGAAACTACATGAGACCCCAGATATCAACTGGGAATCAATTAAACACAAATCGGGTCTGGTATAGTTCAGTACCACATGCACTTCTAGTTGGCCTGGCTAAACTATTTTTGCATATGTCAATCCTAACCCCTACCCGACTACGTCACCGAAAAATTACGTCAATTCGACGACACAGTGGCGTAATAAGGCCCACCAAAGTATGCGGAAGGTAGTCCAAAACGCGCAGACGATCATCCGAAATCGAGCAATCTATTTCTCTCGTTTTTTCGTCACAACGATTCCGATAGGAGAGAGATCGTCGGCGTTAGCGAGTTCGTTATCAGCGGCGCAGATGCCATTTTGGGCGACCGTAATTATACTTTGACAAGCCATATGACGTGATGATAACGTCGTAGTGACATAATTTTTGGATGGCATAGTCAGGTGAGGGTTAGGAATAACATATGCAAAATTCGTTATGCTATGCCCACTGGAAGACTTGTGGTACCAAACTATACTAGACCCCACAAATCAATGTATTTTCCCTAGTAACATGAGTCAGATACTGCCAACTACAAAACTACAAACTCGAAAATTCCAGTGGCCACAATTCCAATGATTTTAGTAGTTTTGTTTTCCAACCTACAAATACCCAATATTTCGATGCTATTCGTAGACTAGTTAAATCATGGTATGTTAGTCGTTGAGTTAAATATACGATTTACAGAAATTTAACTACGCCAGCATGGCGTTTCTAAATAAAAGTCACTATAATCATTTCTCCCGCCTCCATATCCTGTAGAATCGGAAGAAAAATGGCTTTTTGTCCTAGTCTGCGATGGTTTATCTCAAACGATAAATAATTCATTTCCTCACCCGCCTCTAAGTGTCATGTCAAAAACAAAACAACGGACACCCACATACTGACATAAAGACACACGGCCATCGTCTTTCGCTCGGCAGTGCCAAACTTGCGTTTGAAACAGGCGTTTTATTTGAGCCTCTCGCTATGTCAATTGCCACTGCAATCAGCACATCATTTTGTTGCGTAGTGCCAAAATGCAAACAATATTTTTTCTAAAACGCACATCACTTCACGAAAGTCTTTCTCATCATGGCTATGGAATATTCGATCGAGACAAATAACTCGTAGGCGTACTTTAAGATATGTCAGGCGAACATTGCAGCAGATAATAGGAAAGCCAACAATCCACGCGAAGAGCTAACAATACAATACGTAGCCAGTGTAAACCTTTGATAAAACGCAAATATAACGCCTAAACCTAAACTATAGCATAGGAATATTGGTCTATCTCGTTTTGCGCATAAACTGTTGGGAAAGTGTTGTTTCGTAGAAGTCGACGAAACCCAAGTACACCAATCACAACCGCCCAGGGGAATACAACTACCGTAGAACACGAAACTGAGTTTTCGTGTCTCAGAAGATATTTTCACGATAAGGCAATTACTGTACTTGCAACGCTGAAACAAGTATCGAACATGTTAACTTTAACCAGTGACTAGGCTTGTTAAAACATAAATTCACACTGAGCATTCAATCATAGTCGGGAAAGTAGGGATGACTTGAAATGATTTTCAATACAGCAAAATTTAACGTGACCAAGGAGAAATACCGCATTTGAAGTTCCGCCGAACCGACAGCAAAATCTCCACGAGCGCTCACATGATCAGAATATTTACACAGTGATGACTATAAGGTATGTAGTATTTAATTTTATCACGGGGGTGACTGATAAAGCTTTTTATACAAGTGTATGAAGAAATTTTCCGTATCACTTGAATGTTAAGTTTTGTGAGAGTTTTTATTATATATGCTTGATTATTTTCAAGACTGATTGTTATTCAGGGTGTCATCAAAATTTTATTCAGAAACATAGCGTGACGAAAGTCTCAGATCTATGTGCAGCGAAACAATTAGTTTACACAGCCTCGAACGCTAGTCACAATTAGAACATCATATCCGTCCATGGGAGTCTCGAAGATGCGAACTGGTTTCGAAGTTTAAATGCAAATTCACCACTATGAACGCTGAGTAGTCGCGTGCGCTGGTTTCACAACACGCAGTTCACCCATTGACAATGGTGTGCAAACAATATCTGACAACGAGCGTATATCAGTAATGTAAATCCTATTTTACCAAATATTATATATATGCGATTGAAACATAGGAATATGACAAAAAAATTACAAGGCAGGAATGTCTATCGCTGCAAAACATGTAAATCCACTTCAGACTTCCCCTATTTGCGGCAAAGGTGCTTGTTTCCACCATTGTACGTTCAACAGAAATTAAATATAAAAAACTTAGGACCGCACTTCAAACACACACGACATCCAATCTAATCACGTTGAACTTACCGCTATTGCTGACCATGTACGCGTTTGTTTGACCTGGGCTGACCTTATTTCCAGATGAAGGTCTTTCTTCCATATTGTCTTCAATTTTTTTTTACTAGAATTAACCTCAAATATTTTGCTTAAAAATAGAAGAGTCGATGAGAAAAGAAAATAACATGCATGGTTCGTGTGTTTTTGATTTGTACGTAGTCTACTCATTGGCGAGTCGCACTTGTGATTATCTCTCTGTTCATTGAAAAACGGCTGTTCTTCAATAAGCATGGGCCATGGTGAATGAGTGGGGTAACGTTACATAGACTCAAAATATACTCGTAAAATCCACAAATACCTGCGATTGCTTCCTATGTTTTTTCGCTGCTCAAATTCAAACAATGTAAACAATATATGTCAATATAACGCTAACCTATGTTATCTTCTTCAGGAAACTTCAGCAGGCGAACTTTCCTGAGCAAATCAACACCTCGCATTTTGCTAAACTGTGTCTGAAATTATTTACCTATTTGTGGGTTCAACTACGCCACGAAATGATAGAAGCTTTGGGTACTAATTGCCAGATAGAAAGTCTTTCATAGCTGTATGTATTTCGTAGCGTAGCTGATTGCCAAATAATGAACGTATAGCAGATTGGAATCCCAAACAATCTTTTGCACATATAAAATATTCATGCTACATCGAGCTGTAGGCACTGTAATTAGAACAACCATGAGGGCTTCGTCTGTTATGGATAACTTCGAGTGTGAGCTCGAATATCATAATATCAGGGCGTGACCGTGTTTAACTGAGCGTAATATCGTTCGCTCGCTCTACGATTCACCTAATGAACCCGTCACCATGGCTTAAACGTACGTGCTGAATTGCGCTAGGCTTTTATATTTACGTTGCTAAGGGTGGCTATTGTTCGCGCTGAGATATCGTTTAAAATATCAATCACGAGACTGGACACGTGATCACACATCATCGACGTTGAAACGCAAAATAAATTACGTAACGTACCTTACATTTTATTGTCACGATACGGTTGTGAAAATGGTATCTGATAATTATTATTTATATTGAGTTTTTCTGAAATATATATCTTTTTGTAAAGTGATGGAATTACTGTAAACTATTTTATACTTTGAACGCCAATTTTATTCCACAGATATATTACATGTCTTTGCTATTTTAAACATTTGGTGTCTGGAGACGATTTTCTGGTTACACTGAGATTATCTCGATTATTATTTGATACAAGGCCATAAACCTAAAATGCCAACTGCGAATTCATTGCGCGATGGAGGGGAACTTGAATGATCGGAAACTGGACATTCCTTTACTTGAAACAAAAGACTCATATAAAAATAGTGAAGTTTTTCCATCAAATTAATTATCTCACTTTAAGTCAGTGTGGTATTTCAGTATTAGCAATTTGCAAGATAGGAAATATATGATAGAAATGCTTGATTTCAAGGCGAATAGTATATAAATGATGTCGGATGTATTCATATATAATTATTTTCATATATATTTGAAGTTTTTTTTTATATCTACTTCTGATTTAACGAGGAGGGTTTTTTAGGAATCTTTTCAATCGTGGAACCATTTATGAAGTTGATGATTTTTACATTCATTTTCCATTCAACAGTAATAACCTATTATCCTATCGAATTAAATATCTATTGAATTATCCCCAGTTATAATTGGGGATTTCGATAACAACGGAGCTCACAAATTGACTGTATTTCAAGTTACACCTATTAGTAGGGTTACCATATTTTTTGACTTCAAAGCGGGACGCCCCCTGTAACTTTACAGTTTCCAATTTTACTATACAGACCTACATTTAAGCCATCCCGACTGTCTTCATTGACCATATTGTCATCGAGAGTTCATGCGCATATTCTCTGTCTAAATATCGAGTTCAGTTCGAAAAATAGAAAGAAACATACGCTACCGATACAAATGATCCGAGTTTAGATATTTTCATGTACAGCAAAAGGAATAAAGAATAATGAAATAGTCTGTCGTTTTCGAGCATTGAGAATTTACTTATTCGGCCAAGCATGCTTTTCTGTAGATAACACTATTAAAAAACGTTGTTCAATGTTACATTCACGCGAACCTCCGAACAGGACCAATTAAAATTGATTTTACATGTGATACGTTCGCTAACAATGTTAGCGGGAAACAACGAA